GTACAAGAAAGCTAGCTGAGCGGGATCCATGGGAAGAGCACATTAGCAAGCTCCTTCCATCCACGGTTTATACCTCCAGGTTCCTAAGTGGAGTGACTGCCTTGACTTCCCTTGATGTTTGATTGAGATTTGAAAGTATACGCCAAGTAAATCCCTTCCTTTCCCAAGGTGATTTGGCTAGAGTGTTTTATCGCAGAAACAGACAGCAAATTAGACCAGTAGCCACTGTGATTTGGATTTTTCTTCGCTCATCTGTTAAATTGGTGTATTTATATTGCTTTTTTATTTTCTGTTGTTTTAAATGGTCAGTTACAGGACTTTAAGAAATAAGGATTTTGAGCTTTTACTAGACTACACTATCTCCGTTGGGCTGGCTAGTCTTATGTCAACTTGATACACAAACTAGAGTGTTCCCGAATGGATAGGACCTTCATTGAGAAAATGCCTCCATAAGATCCAACTGTAAGGTGTTTTCTTAGTTAATTATTAATGGGAGAGGGCCCCTATGAGTGGCACCATCTCTGGGCTGGGGGTGGTTCTGAGTTCTATTAAAAAGCAGGGTGAGCAAGCCATAGGAAGCAAACCAGTAAGCAACACTGTTCCATGGCCTCTGTGTCAGCTCCTGCCTCCAAAGTTCCTGTCCTGTTTGAGTTCCTGCGACTTCCTTTGACGATGAACAGCAATATGGAAGTATAAGCCAGGTTTATTTAAACCTTTTTTCTACCTAACTTGCTTTTTGGTTATGGTGCTTTTTCACAGCAACAGAAACAATAGACATCTGTTATTGTTTATTTTTCCTTAGAGACTGTTTCATCTTAGTTACTGATTCTTTAAGAGCCCTGCTGTGAGATTTCATTGACATGAGGGAAATTAGAAATATCCACTTTAAAGCCTCACACAGCTTGCCCTGCTTTCTGTAGAGATCCTTGAGGTCTTTGTGGTCCAACCTCAGACGGGCTTTACTTAGCTCAGTGTGACCTGAGGTTGTACTGATGTAAGTGTGACTTAGCGGAGGATTGATCTCTAATCTCTCCATGGCCTCAGATACAAATCTGTGACTGAAAAAGCACAGGAGTACATACGGGTGGCTTTCGTATGGTTATTCATTACAGAAAAAACAATATTTACAACATAATAAGTGACTGTCCCTGAGTTGGACTCTGGGAAACAGTCAGGATAGTGCCACATCCAGCAGTTGTACAGCCAGAAAGGCCAGCTGCTGATGGGTAACTAGTGTCTCATGGGGATCCAGTGTTTTGTTCACTGCCTTGAAGAATGTAGAAGAGCTGTGCACTTAGCAATGAACTCCCCACTCCCCATACTGGATACAGAAAAACTCAAACAGCACATAAGAAAATGGCCTTCCTGTCCTAATGGAGAACTGGCTTAACAGTTAAAATAACTTCTGTTCTCATTTGAGACAAAAACAAAGCTTTCTTCTCCTTTTAAAAACCGAGACTTCTTAAGTAAGCCACAAGATAACTACTTTTCTTGGGTTTTGCATGAATCTTTTGTCAAAACTATAGACTTTTCTTTATGAACTATAAAAATATATAGTTAATGTAATATATATGTTTAAAATATATATTAATATATATAAAATATATTTTAATAGCATATGTGATTGATTTTAAATACCAAGAAGGCTTATCAGAGGATACAGTGATCTCTTTCAAGCATGCTTTAAGGTGTCTAACAGTAAATACTCTCTGAAAATGTCAAGCTGATCTGTGTGAGACTGGTGTGTTACTTCGCATTGGGATTTTATTCCTTTTGATCTAATTACATGAAGACTTCTGTTTTGGCCTGTGATTCTAATTTACTGTGGAAGGACTGTAATCTCCCAAGGTGAAGTACAAGGCAGGTGGCTCCTGGTGGAGAAGGCATTGACAGGAATAATGAGGGTACAAAGCAGGTGTTCCTTGTGGAAGATTCAGAACACATTCCTTTCACGGAGAGAAGGCTCAGTTTTCTGTAGCTGTATTTGATTTTCAGTTTGATTGAGTGTTGGAGACCTAATGCTGTCCTTGAGTGCTTGGCACGTCATCTTTGAGTGCAAAGTAGAAGGAATGGGTGATTTTCTCTAGTAGGACTCAGGGATGGTCTGGACCATCGCTTTGTCTTTTCTTAAGAGAATATACACTGGAGATGATCTTGTGACGAACGGTGCAATTAACTTTCAACCTTTGAGGAAAGAGCATGCTGTCCAGTATTATAGTTCGTAAACTCTAATAGTGTGAAGATTTTATTTGTTCATGCTTCTTTAAGTAAGTACTTTCTTGGTTTTTTGTTTCCCCAAAACTTGGGAGTTTTCTTTATAGTGTGCATTGATTTTATACGCAATTCATTAATTCTATGTATACTTTGAAAGGATAAAGATAGTTGAACAATATTTTATATGAAGCTTGTCTCATTTTTTTTTCTGTTTGGGGAGAATTGACACTTAAGACATCATGCAGAATGTGTAACAAGTGAAGAACTTGGAAATTGTATTAGGTATTTAAGTTTCTATAGGCATTGTAGCATATAGTATAGGTCTGGGGAACTATATGAATTTTCTAGTATCTGTTTAGAGAGTTGAGTACTTCAATCTTATAAACTTAACTAATTAATAGCTAATTAATTAATTACCATGGTGCCTAAATCAGGCAGGCATGTAGTGTGTATTCCCGAGTTTAACTTTGCTGTTTTGCCTCAGCATGTGTTGTATGTAAGATCTTCTTTCTTTAGTGCCCTTTATGTCTATTGTTCCTGAAGCTTTTGTTGGATTAGAGTTAGCAATCAAACAGACAGATCTGATGCTACCTAAAATGTGATCGTATGGTGGAGATATGCTGAGTGCATAAAGGAAGGTGGGTTGCTTTCAATCTGGGACAGAAATGCTTTAACAAGCTTCTCCACCTGCCTCTCCTTGCTTTCTAGAGATAAGTGTTTATAATGGAATTAAATTATCTGGATCTTAAACCACGTAGTGTGAATGTTTGAGTCACAAAATAATCTTTATGTAAGCGGAATGCCTAAGGTTAGCTAGTTTTTTTTCTTTGTACCTGTTTTGTAAGAAGTCTATCATAACCAAACTGAAATCAGAATTCTGTTGCTAAGAAGATACGCATTATACACATTGTTTCTTTTTTTTCCCCATATGCTCCTGCTTTATCCCATGCACTGAGCTGCTCTTACAACTGATTTGTTTATGATGACTAGATTCTGGTCTGAAAACTGAATGTTATAGTATAAATATACCATGGCCAGGCTATCTAAATACAATCATTTTAAGGATGCTAAGGCTCCCTTTTTTTCTTTTTTCATTCATTCATTCATTCATTCATTCATTCATTCATTCCTTTTGTTACTACAAATATTTACTTCCGTCTTTCCATGTCTTAGGGAGGCTACCGAGATACAATGAGGAGTAGGAGAGATTCAGTCTGAAGCCTGCAGAAGCATAGTTTGGTGGGAAAGATGAATTTGATGAAAATACATGACTACCTAGATAATAAAAGTTGCACATACAATTAAGCCTGCAGAAGCTATCGTAGGTGATAACACTGACATTGCCTTTCACTCATAGAAGAGCACCGTTGCTCCCATGTGCTCTTCCTTCCAGACAAGACGCATTAAACCTCTCTTTTCAGGTGGGACAGACATCTGTCTCTATGGCTGGGTTCAGGCTCTCAGTGTGGTGCTTCTCTGACACCATGCAGGGTGACAGAAGGACAGAGGGATGAGGGAAACACAGCCCACCCAGCCCTTTTCTTTATGTGTTTGTGGTTTCATTTGTTTGTCTTGAGATAAAGTCTTGCTTGTAGCCCAAGATGAGCTTGGGCTCACTATTAGCTCAGGATGGCCTTGAAATCCCAACAATCTTGCTAAGTCAGTCTCCCAGGTGCTGAGATCATGTTACACACAAACACTCATACGTCTATACATCCGCAATACATAAACAGTATGTATAAAATGAGGAAATTCAGAAATTCATTGGTAATGCTGGAATGCTTTCTAGTCTGAGTGATCAGCTGATGTTTCTTGGAAAGAACATAAGTGATTAATGAAAAACTAACAGGGCTTTGATAAGCAAATATGGTGGATAAGGTTTTTCAAGTAAAAGAATTGGAGAAAATAAGATGTGAAGATGAGAGCTTTGGGGGCATATTGAAGGACAAACAGAAGGAAAATAGAAGGAAATCATTCAGGAAATAGTTACGAGGAAGTGGACAGAAGCTGCTGGAATCAGTCAGTCAGATCACTGAGGGGTTCAAATACCTGATAAAGGATAAGATGAACTAATATGGGATCTCTCAGTATTTCCTCATAGAAGACCTCTGAGTAAATAATTAATCAGCCCCTTTGAGGAGAGTGACTGCAGAGGAAAGCCTGGAACCCAGAACTCAGCAGGCTCTGAAACTATAGTATACGTAAGACTCTGAATTGCCAGTGTTCACCTGCTCTATCAATGTTTAGGAGTTGAGGAAAACCTATGCCCATGCTCCATGCTCAGAACTCTCCCAGAGAGCATCTTCAGCATGAAGAGGCCATTAGGCCTCCTCTCTGAAGTCTTAGGGTGCTTACTTTCCAACTGGCTTCAAAGCCATGGATTTCTGACCTATTAGGAAAGCTATGGTTGCCTTCAGAGAGCTTGAACACAAATATTTAAAACGGAAAAAGATCATAATAATAGGAAATGGGACAGATCTTGCTTGACATCACGACAAATATTTCTGAACTGATTTTAGATTTATGAATAAATGATTATTCCAGTTTCTGGGTTAAATATTTAAAACTCAGCTTCCCTTTTGGAATTCATGTATAATAGAGGGCTGATTATTCTGAGCTGCACATTTTCGCTCTTCAGTTCCGTCTTTTAATACGTTATAATTATTCTTCTTCTCCCCATTCCTTTTCAGTCCCCTGCATGAAAAATTATTTAAACGCCGCACACACATCTTCTGAGCAAGAAGAAAAGGAAATTCCGTGTGTGGCTCTCAGCAGGAGTGCAGCTGATGCAGCTTAAAATAATGCTGAAGAAGAAGCACTTGTCTGCAGGCAGAGTGCCTCTGATTCTCTTCCTGTGCCAGATGATCAGTGCTCTGGACGTTCCTCTTGATTGTGAGTATTAGCAGTTTAAATCTCTTAAGCCAGGAGGCAAAACCTCTCGGTATTTACCATCACCCTTGGCTGTGTTGTTGAGGAAAGTGTCTGTAGGACACTGAAAAGCTAATCAAAATTAATTTGGCTTTTACCTTCAGCACCTGGTGTTAATGAAGACACTGTAGAAAAGGATGGAAATGTAGTCTGGACATGAGGTCCCCTTTTTCTTCATTATCTTTCTTTGCCTCAGGTGTCTTTTGTGTGCAGTGGTGGGAGTGGCCTGAGAAGGAACTGGTACAACTGCCCTGATCTTCCCGGTAGGGAGCCCTTTGTGGAAGAACCCTGTGAACCACTTTCAAAGGATGATGCAGACCCGTGCTTATTGTCCTTATTCTGTGTACTTTCTTCCTTTATTGCTGAGGCATCTCTGAAAAATAAAATAACTAATGGATGCTCTTGACATCCCTCTGACCCTTTTTATTCCCAGATCAACCGTACTTCAGACTTTATTTATCCTGATTCAGACAGACACACTAGTTTCAGTTCCTAATTTTGCATCTTAAATGTTAGTCTGTAAGAACAGTATGCCATCCACAAGCCTAGTGAACAGTCTTGGCTTAAACTATGTGATCAAAGGCTAAGGTGCAAGATGTTGATACTAAGAAAAGACCTGCTAAATCACTAAAATGAAAAGGCATAGAGGGCTACTGCATTTCTCTCCCTCATTTCCCACAAAGTAAAATGTGCATTATACTCTCCCTGTCCTGTGTGGTTTGTTTGTAGACAATAAAGACAATGCTGGTTTCCAGCTGGTTATGTTCCTTGCAGTGGAAAGCGGAATTTCAAGTCTGAACAATTTCTGTACTTCACAAATGATTTGCCCTTTGTTCCCAGTCTACACGACCTCTTTAAAGCCATTAGCTTCTTGAGTACAGCATCTGTTTGGCAAGCCTTCTAAGGTGCAAGGGAGATAGCTGTTTCCTGGGGTTAGCCAATTGCTGGCGTGTCCTTTTCTGCTGTAGATGTTGCAACTGTCAGTGGGTTCCCTACACACTCCACTCTCTTCCTGGGCTCTGCTTCTCTATACTAAAGTGCAATAAAATGCAGCTTTTTTTTTTTCATTTTAAAAGTTAATCATCCAATGACTTTAATTTAAAAATATGTAGATATGTATTTAATTGAACTATGCACTCATTCACTTGAACTCATTAGAGCAGGAATATTTAAGTAAGCATTTGCTCTGATAGACGCACTAGAAAGATGGAAATCAGTGAGGGAAATGCTTTTGTTCTCTCTTGTGTTAAATATATTCCTCCTTAATCTGACTGCTCCATCTAACTATCAGGGGAAACAGGCACCTAGGGCTAACTCAATTATGGCAGCTAATGGAGACAAGCCACAACCATGATGAAAATAAAGTCACGGGGTAGCCTAGGCTCTCCTGCATTAACCTTTGCTTTGCAAGCAGTAATGACAGGCAGCCCTGCAGAATGATTGGAATTGGGTGCAAACATGTCTTAGTCCCACATACCCTTTCTGCAGCACACACAATGATCCTATATACGGGACCCCGAAATCTGGCCAATTGAGAATTCCAAAGCAGAAATATGTTAATAATATAAAACCTGGCCAATTGAGAATTCCAAAGCAGAAATATGTTAATAATATAAAACCATCTTGAAGAGAAACCATAGAGATGTGCATATCTTAAATCGGCATTGGATTTGAGTTGGATGGAGAACTGTAGCAATATCCCATTGTGAAATATCATTAGCATGTGCACCGTGGTGTCTGGGATAATAAGGTCAGATGCCAACATAGAATGTGACAACTCAAATTAATTGTAGACTTCATCTATTTTTCCAATTGAGCATAATTATCAATGCCTCACCATTCTTATCCTGGAAGAGCCTTTTTCCCCCTACAGCACAGCCTTTGTTCTTCCGTATGCTGATGATGTGAGAAGCTGCTACAGGAGCAAGGCAAACCTCGAGTACCACTTTCTTTCTCTTGTAATAAAGTTTTAACTTTCATCATATGTTTTATTTTTTTAAGGTCAAACCAAGTAGACAAAATGACCCTTTTTATCTTTAAGGTGCTAACATTCTCGCTACTAACATCTGGTTTTCTTTTTAATCTTCTTTGCCCACTCATCTGCTGATACTGATGGGAAAAAAGCAAAGCTCCTTGATGACTGTAAGTGTCTTTCTACAAATTACTAGGCAGTGTGGAAATGTGACCATGTCCTTGTTTCTTGAATTAATGGTGTGAAACAAACAAGCAGCATCATGTTTTGTGCTTAGTGGTTTTCTAAGCATGTTGCTTACTATAGCCCGACACCTTGTTTGAATGCTAAGGTACAAACGTAATATATAACCTGCATGAATTCTGGAGACTCTGATATTACTTTGGCCAACCTGCTGCTATTCTACTAACATCCAAGCTGTATTTAAATCTGATGTAACTCAATGAGAAAATTCAAAAAAGTTTTTAGGGAGAATGATTATTTTGTTTTACATGCCATTAACTGGAAGAGACACCCATCTTTTGTAGAGGATTGGAAGTCTCTCTTTGATGGCTTTAGCTTTAGAACTGGGTAGAACATTGTTCCTAGGTGTTCTGAGGAGAAAAATCCTGAAAATTAGAAGAATATCTTGAAATAACATGGTCCCTGGGAAGCTTCCTATAAGCAAAAATGTTTGCTGCTTCTGACAGCTGGGTAGCATTTATCATCCAGTGAAAAGATGGTCCGTTTTCAGACATTTTCCTTTGATGTTGAGTTAAACAGACAAATCTTGGTAAGTCACTTATTACTACAAAGCATTTGTTAATTGCCATATGACCTAAGCACTATTGAAAAAGATTCCTCCAGATGGCAAACTCCTGGTACAGCTGCAGGCACAGGAGGGGAAACCCTGCATTTTAAACCACAAAATTTGCATGTCTGGAACCTCATCCCCCCACCACCCCCCAAATGAACTGCATTGAGTCACCCCTAAGAATCCATTCTATCAATGTCTTTGTTCACCATTCTGACAGAACAGAACCTCAAGAATTCCTTTCATTATCCCAAATGCTATACTTCTAGAATCTGAAAGTTGACCAATACAAATGAAGCTGGCCCAATCAGAATGCTTGAAGATCCACTGAACAATCCCAGTGTTGGCATCCACTAAATATTTTTACACAAGTGTGTTACTAATTCTCCCAGTCCTAGTTGGAGGCCAAGTCAACTTTTGAATCTCTTTTCTCTCTGAAGGCTTACAGGAGTTGAGGCTCAAGTCTCTCAACTAATAAAAAACAGACAGCCATTAACCTTCAGACAAAACTGCTGACTAGCTTTGGAAATCAACAAGATAAAGGCAGGAGGATCCAAAGTGCAGGGGAGTGCAAGCTGGACTACTTCATTGCACAGTCCTGAACATGCCCTAGCATGTTTGCATAGGGGACTACATAAGCCTTAGTCATAGGAAACTGCCCTAGACCTTGTGAGATATATAGACACATGCTTAGCCTCTTCCTACTACAGGTAACAATTTTACCCCGATCTCATGAGAGAAAAGGGCCTATGGTAGTCTCAGAGCAATTTAGAGCATGCTCAAGGTCTCTAGATGGACTTTCCTCAGATTGAATTGCTCTGGGTCAAAACAATTAGCTCTATAGTTTCATATTAAAGGATCAGGTAACACTTTGAAGAACACATAGAAACAAGGTCTATAGGAGGGTTTCAATCTCATTACTAACCCAGATAAGAGTGTTTTCTTTTCATTCCTATTTTGTCTACCTCCTGGTTCTGATAAGGCATTTTAAAGCTCCAATTTAACCATCTTTTAAACATGAGTTTGTCAAAAGTATGTTTCCCTGAGATATAATATTTTACACCATTTGAATACTAATGAGCGCTATGTCAGTGACTCTATCCTAAGAAAGATTCAACTCTACCTCATAAATTATGTTGACAGGCATTGCTTGAAATAAAAGAAGCATGGGTTTCTCATTGTTACATCAGAAAAAAGTTTGAATATTAGATTTGCATTATTAATTATTTTCCCAGACTTTTTGTCTGGTAAAATGGACTTTGAAAGTGTGTGTGATGTTACCAAAGGGAAGTTATGTCTTGACTTCCCAACTTTAGCTGAATTTTAGTTGAAAACATAATGCTATAACAGATAAGTAGAAATAATTGTGACGTATTTAATCTAAGGCAAGTGATTTTAGTATAGAAACGGTGGCTGTTATCACGGCAGTAAATCATGTAATTCTTTACGTTATTCTCTGTTTTACAATTAAGTGGTACAACCTCCAACCATCACTCAACAGTCACCAAAAGACTACATTATTGACCCTCGGGAGAATATTGTAATCCAGTGTGAGGCCAAAGGGAAACCTCCTCCAAGGTAAGCATGCTTCCTGCTTTTGATAGCATTTAAAATTGAAGGCAACCTCTCTGAATGAAGGAAGGTTTGGAATTTTGATAGAATAGGAGAGGTCATGTGGACCATTTTCTCACTTAGTTGGATAGTTCTCAATGTGACTAACAGCTGATGCTTACGTTTACCTAACCAATTTCCTGGCTCATCTCCACTCTTCAAAGGTCTTCAAAATGTCTTCTTAGGTTTGGTATATCTCTAAAGTATCAGTTATAGATTCATTGTCACATCTCTCAGATGAATAATAGCACAGTTGCTAAAGTCTAGAGTTTTCTACTTTCCTATTCATACTTTAGTAAAATCCTCATACTTTGGGAGGGGATAGGGAAAGACTCTAGTCTCCATTCTGACACCAATGGTTTTTATTCATGTAAACAAGGCCAAACCCCTTTTTATCTGGGCTTCTCTTTCTCACATGTTGGAAAGAAAAAGAATAATTTTAATTGACAGCTTCTATAGAGGCTCCTACCTCTATACCAGCCATGGAATAGTCTGACACTGTTCTCCACACTTACCAGGATTCACTATGTGTATCTCAGCATGAGCATTTCAGAATCCAGTCTAAACAAAAGATGATATAGATGGGAAACGGAGGGCTATCCTGCTGGACTATGTATCCAAGGCCCTACACAGAATGGCACAACAGCTAGTAGAGATAAAGGGAGAATTCTATGAAGTTTGGTTGTTAAAATACAAGGCTTTTAATAGCTATTATATTATAACAATTAAATTTTATGATTGTTAATTATAACTTGACATAAGAATTTATAAATAATAAAAGGAGGAATGTTTTGGGTATTCTATCTTCAAATATATATAAAATAAGCTTTATCATCTAAGGACAAAAACACCTGGTTCTAGATGCCAGTGTATGTCAACATTTCCATCGAAGTTTTGTTCCAAAATAGTAACCCCACCATATTGCTGGAAAGTGTTTTTCAAACAGGTCTCAGTTTGCCCTTCTGCTTCATTCTTAGCTAATGCCTCCCGTACGTGTATGGCAGGACTTCCCATCAGTTAGGGGTGATGAGTGCTGTGAGAATGAAGCTGTCCTATGTACTGGTCGATGCGTACCACTGTCCATGGCCTCTGTCCACACGGTACAGACAACCTGCACCACTACTCTTGCCTGGCCTACTCCCAGCTCCTGCTCTAGATTTTGCAAGCACCATTCTAAGCCTAAGTCATAAGAAAAGAGATCCAAGTTAGAAAACACAGGAAAGTTTGACACATATGTCTCTCCATCGTCTTACCATCACCAACATGAGACCAATCAGGAAGTATTTAATCACAGGAGTGCTGTGGCATTTATAGGAGGCATCTTTCATGTAACAAAACTGAGAAAAAGGAATCTTGGTTGATAAATTGGTCTATCATCTAAGAAGTATATGCTTATTTCTAGAATTAAAAGTCCTTGACTACAACTTATGTAGAATTAGCACTTTTAAAAATTAACATTTAAGAGAGCCCAAAAACTCTCCTCTCTGCCTCCAGTTTGGACTTTGGTAACTTGAAACAGATCTGATTGATTTTCCACGGAAGATAATGCAATGCTTATGGAGACCTATTTTGTCACATTTCAGCTTAGAGCATACTTTATACACAGCTTATCTATATGAACAATTGGGTTTCCAATAAAAATGTTAATACTGTTCAGAGACTGTACCTTGAAAACATATTTTTTGTTTGTTTGGTGTGTTTGTTTTCTTAGAAAACTTGTGTTAAATTTGAGATGAATTTCATGAAGAATATGCCTCAAATATAAAAATAACACTTTTTTTTTCTGAGTCATGATTTGGCATGACCTTTCAAGCATGAGACCTTTTACTAAATATTGAAATCTAACAGTTATTTCTGGAACTCTATTAAAACCTAAGGCTTTTAAAAGGATACATAATCCTGTTTCTCTAGATCATTAACGAGCTTAATCCTTGATGTGTTGGGCAGCTTTTCCTGGACTCGTAATGGAACTCATTTTGACATAGACAAGGACCCTCTGGTCACCATGAAGCCTGGCTCAGGAACCCTTGTCATCAACATCATGAGTGAAGGGAAAGCAGAGAGCTATGAAGGAGTCTACCAGTGCACTGCAAGGAACGAGCGCGGAGCTGCCGTCTCCAATAACATTGTTGTGCGCCCATCTAGTAAGTGAGAGTTGTCAACCAAACATGACCCTTGAAAGATGTGTTCCCAACTTCATCATCTGTCACAGTATCCAACTGTGACCACAAGACAGCAAGAGCATTGCTTCCAGTGTTCCCTTTGACTTGTGTGAAGTTATTTTCTCCTCTATATTTTCTACAAATGATCCAGCAGTTTCCCTCACGGCAGCTTTAATTGTATTTAAAGAGCAATGACCATTTGTCATTTTGATCATTTTAAAAATATTTAAAATTATATACAAATATATTTAAGTTGATCTTGAGTCTTTCCAATTATAGAAATAACTTTATCAGTACTTTCCTTTCCTAATGTGTGTGTATGTATATATATATATATATATATATATACTTATAACTAGTTAATTCTGAAATGCTATTTTACAATCTTTTTTGACATTAATATATAATATATAATCTCTTACCAATCTTATAAGTATAATGTATAATATTGTATGAAATACAAAGATATATATATATATATATATATATATATATATATATATTTTCTTATGAAATAAATATGCTGACATTTAAGTTTTTCTCATTCTTTGTGGAGAATGTGATGCCTATATCAAAACCAGTGTCTTATTGATGTATTACTGTAAATTATGAGATAATGGATTGGTGGATTGAGTCCTACTAGCAAATGTAATATAGATTTCTTTTTCCTTTTTCTCCTATAATCATTTTTTTAAAAAACAAAAACTCTAACACCTTATTTAAAAGTACTTCGTTATTTAATGTATATAAATTCTAAGGTATAATTTCCCAAAAATCTTTGAATGCCTTTCTTTATATTGTTGTCTTCTTTTTATTTTTGCAAGAAGAAATACCTCAGAAATTTTTTGGGTTTTGCTTAACAGGGTCGCCCTTGTGGACCAAGGAAAGACTTGAACCAATCATACTGCGAAATGGTCAGTCGTTAGTACTTCCATGTAGGCCTCCAATTGGATTACCACCGGCCATAATATTTTGGATGGATAATTGTAAGTCTTAATACTAAGAATTTTTTCAGCCAGCTCATAGTTATTCGCTGTTTTAACAATGTACCTCCTCTTATGAATCATAAAGTACTTGTAAAATGATTTACAGATACAAGGAAAAATAGCTGCCTACTGAAATAAGCACCATGCGACTTCATTCATTAACTATGCCATAAGCTGCTATGGATCAACAACAACAGAAAATACTGTCATTGGGCTTGTCTTCATGTGTGAAGAGCAAGTAGGGCAAAAGAGAAGTGGGAGGGGCCAGGATGTGGCTCAGTGTGTGGCCTAGTGGTAGACCATTTGTCTAGAATCTATAAGGCCCTAGGTTCAATGAAAAAAGAGAGAGGGGCAGAGACCAATTAGGTATGCATTGTTGTAATCCAGGTCATGGTTAATGGAGACTTGAACTTGGGAGGTCACAGTAGAGTGGTAAGACTCTGGATCTATTCTAAGGGTAGAGTCTCCACAGCTGGAGACTAAGGAATATGAGGAGAGGAATCAGGGATAGAATACAAAGTTTAGAGACTGAAAACTGTTTTAAAAATAGGAGTATCCTCTAACAAATCTCAAAAGCTACTAGGAGAGAAAGTCAAGTTGCTTTGGTTATAGCATACCTTCATTTTTTTTTAATCTCCAGCAACAGTTAATATTTAATCAGCCTTTACTGCGTGTCAACTCCTTTCCTAAGAATATCACATACTGTCAGGTTTCTCACAAGCCGCTGAGGTATATCTAGTCATCCTTGAAGTCTTTCTAGTGATGAAACTGGGACAAGGAGAAATGAAACTAGTTGCTGGAGATTTTCAGTTTTGTCTACTTTTGACCTTGCCCTTGACAGAATCATTTGTCTTTCTACTACAACCCCCCGCACCCCCCCCCCCCCCCCCCCCCCCCCCCGCCAAAGCCATTATGTTGGCATATTATCTTAGAGATGGCACACAGCTTGGCTTACAAAACTAAGGAACCAGGATTCGAGATGTGAGAGGTAGAGGACATCCAGATGTGAATATGCACAGCACAGGTCAGAGGTGTGGGCAGTGGATAAGCCTGCGATGCAGTCAGCAGGCTATGAGTTCTCAGTAGGCTGTCTGAGATAATTTAGAGATCGGGTACTGGAGGTAGATAACCGAGTCTTTGGACTGAGATCTAGAGCCTTGTAAAAACTTACGGAAAACACAGGAATGCAAATGAGAAGGAGCAGTCACTGAGGTAAGAGGAGATCAAGAGAGGTAGGTTGGTATTCCATGGACCAGGCACCAGCACAGGGTACAACAGTGATGACTGCTGAGTGCAACTAATGAACAATATGAGGTCTGGGAGTGACTGTTCCTCGGTCTGATAACAAGAGTACCACTGTGTCCTTGAAAGAGACCTACCTGTAGATGGTATGGAAGGAATGCACGCAGAAGATATACACAAAATACCCTATTCTCAGAGACCCAACTTCCTCTGCCACCACACGCTGCCAACCTCACTGAAGAGAAAATCAGACTCTAACACTTAAGGATCGTGGTTGACTCTCAAAGGAAGCGTTGCAAGAAGTAAAAAACAAGTCTACACACAAATAAATGAGCAAATAGGTACCTCCTGTATTTATGTGGCAGCTATTATGGATTTTGTGGGGTTACGCAACAAATCCAATATAAAGGAGTGACTTATAGCTTTGCAAATAACGTTCTTCAAATATCACCATCAAAATTAGATTCACTAATCTTTCCCCTTCAGAAATGATTTCTTGTCTGCTTCATAAAGAAATAGGCCACATGTAAACTCTCTAAATAATCTGAATATGGAACTAATACTTCCTGCACGATGCAGGTGGCAATATGTATGATTTCATAAATTATAAAATCGCAGTGAACCAGGCCTTGCCCCTGAAATATGAAAACAGAAGCTGAATTCCCGCAGTACTGTTGCTTTATGCATCATAAAAATATTTCTATTTGTGTATCTTGTCTCCAAGTTTTATACAAAGAAACTCAAAGGGCAAACTCTCCCCACCCCCATTGATTGATGTCCTGTTGTCTTACATTGGAGCTACCAGAATCCATTCGTCATGCAATTCAAGAGAAGCAAAGACAGCAAATATATGTCTTTGATGCCTTGGATTTATTAAATAAATGTATTTTTTTTCAGAGACAGGGTCTCACTGTGTAGCCCAGGTTGATGTTGAAGTTGATATTTAGCACAGGCTTGCCTCAACCTGTGGTCATTCTTCTCTCAGCCTTCCAATACAGCTTGGATTTCAGGCATGCATCACCTTGCCTGCCTCTCAGTCTATGTTCTTTTCCTCAGTATTAAAAAAACATTCCTATCCAAGAGGATTAATGCCTTAAGGACTATACTTTGTAAGCCTCTACCTTGACTGAAGCTTGAGTAACGTAATTAACCCGTGGTATACTTACAGCTCTGACCACGGGGATTTGAACTACAATTTTGCATTTTGTGAAACTTTAGGTTACGTATCTGCTGCAGGAAGAACACAATCTTTGATCCAGCCTGAGGAAATCCCATCAGCAGATATAACACCCAGACTGACATTTTAGGGTGTGCAGCTTTTCCAACTCCCTCTCACTTGGGTCCTGAAGAAATTGCACTTCAGGCTCTGGGACTGAGTCAGAAGCCTCAGTGCTTTTTGATGGTCAATTGTAACATGCTATAACGATCAGTCCCTCCCACCTCTCTCTATACCTCAGTCATGTAGGAAAACCTCTCTCTAGGCATAAGGAAAGCTCTTTTCTGGTCCTGAAAAGGGACAGTTATATTGGAAACTGGAAAGTCTGTGTGCCAATGGCTAATACTTAGCCTTTGCTAGTATTTAATGAGCCCCAGCCAAAGGCTAGGCACTTGTCTGTACTTTTAATATGGGCACACAAAAACAGTGTATCCTCCCTCCTGGAGCTTTAGTGTTGTACCATGAAATGGCTACTGTGCAGACACGAGTAAAACATGGGCCTATGTCATAAGAGGAGCTGTATATGAGGTGAGGGAAGCCAGGCCTGACTCCCCAGTACCAGATCATAGCACCAAACAGCACCAGAGCTTGTTCTGGTCATTCTGGTGTGTGTTATTTGGTTTGTTAATTAGATTGACTCCCATAAGGCTGGGGATCTGCTGGGCTTGACTCCTTGCTCAGAGCCTAATTTTTGATACCATGTAACTCATGTTAATATCCTTACAAACTTGATGATGTGTTATCTAAGATGTATGCAATCAGAGACCAATTTAGATACTGGGAAATATGCAAACATGTCACAAGAGCAGTTTTTGTTTGTTTGTTTGTTTGTCTGTCTGTTCCTACTTTCTTAATGAAACATTTCACTTTTGTGTCTACTCCAGGCTTCAAGAACTTAGGATTGGATAGGTCCAGTGGAGTGTCAGTATGTCTCATATCTTAAAAAGCAAACAAAACAACAAAAAGCCCAGTTATTTTCTTTTACTAAAAGAGATATCAATGTGTGTGTGTGTTTTTGTGTGTATGTATGTATGTATGTATGTATGTATGTATGTATGTATGTATGTAT